CTTTCTTCCTTTTCCTTCCTTCCTTCCTTCCTTCCTTTCTTTTTTAAAGATTTTATTTTTTTATTTGACAGAGAGAGAGACAGCGAGAGAGGGAATACAAGCAGGGGGAGTGGAAGAGGGAGAAGCAGGCTTCCTGCTCAGCAGGGAGCCGGATGTGGGCTCCATCCCAGGACCCTGGGGTCATGACCTGAGCTGAAGGCAGATGCCCAACGACTGAGCCACCCAGGTGCCCTGGAAAAGAGATTTTCTAATGAGGAAGCATTTTGTTCTAGGACTGATGGGAGCCACCTTCTAACCACAAGAAGAGTCAGTCTGAAGAAAACAGAGGCTGGAAGAGTTCAAAGAAGAGCAGAAAAATAGATCTCCAGCTCCAATGGTAACATGTTGGCTCTCTCTTTGGTTTTTTGTTTTGTTTTTAATTATAAAAGAAACTAAATTTCCTTATTGTTTAAGCTAGGTATATTGTTTCTGTCATTTCCAGGTAAAATGATTCTTACCAATAAAATACTCAAATATTGTTCCCATGGGTTATTAAAATTTGCCTCATGGAAACCTAAAGAAATAGGACTAAGTCTCTACCCAACAATGCTCTATTTTAATTCATTAGTTCTGCTCTTAAAGTATGTGCCCTTCACTGGACAGATTACTCCAGACACTGTGTTACTGCCAACTTCCAGAACTCACCACAGTACCTTCCACAGCATACACTCTAAGCAATCATTTATTGAACAAATGCAGGTGGAGACTGCATTAACATTTTCAGCGGACACATAAGAGTTGTCATATTAAGTTCAGATAAATTAAAACCCCTAGAACATTTTTTATATAAATTGATGTCAAAGCTGCCTGTCTCCACCCTGTATCTGAGCAGTTGCATGTGTATGGAGTTTGCTTTTTAGCATTTTTACCAAAAGGCCTTGATATTTATTGCTATTCAGTTATATCTAGGAGACTCCAGCTTAGTTGATTGCAGCTCAGTTGAGGTAATTTTTAATTGTGGTTTCATCATTTGTCATGTCAACTCTTCTTCCTATTTTGGTATCAACTTCAAAAAAGATAGACATTCCTTCTCTATCTTCATATGAACCAAACGGCAAAGCATTGACTGAAACAGCAGCAATAAGAGAAGACGGTTCGCTAGAGTGTTTGCCAGGAGTAGCCCTCTCTGAGCAGTCCTGACTTGGCGGCTCAGTTAGGAACTCTTGCCTTTCCAGAAAAGGCCGGTTCATAACTTCTGCCACTTCTAGTCCACTCCCTCTACCTCCACTCATGATCGGTGATTAGTGAATTGTGGAGAAGGCCCTGAAAATGCCTACCTGAGTCCTCTCTGAGTTCTTTGAAGTTGCCTCTGCTCTAGAAAACTCTTCTCCTCCACCAAACACTGAGCTGTCTCCTCTGGGGAGGCCTGCAGTGGCCCAGCCATGCCATGACCAGATAGGGTTGAAATATTAAGAATTGTTAGGGGACAGTGGTGTTCTTCTGTCAGTTTTACCCAAAACTGGGACTTAGGGTTTTTTCTCTGTTTGGTTGATACCTACATGTATTTATCCATTGCTTCCGAATCTAGATAAGTAGGAACAATTTGTTAAGAACTGTCTGTTCCCAAACAAAGCTCAATTAAATGTTTTTTTGTTTGTTTGTTTTTACTTTTTAAGTAATCTCAACACCCAATGTGGGGCTCAAACAAACGACCCTGAGATCAAGAGTTTCATGCTCTACCGACTAAGCCAGCCAGGTGCCCCAAACAAAGCTCAATTTTATTTTATTTATTTTATTTTTTATTCTTTTAAAAGATTTTATTTATTTATTTGACAGAGATAGAGAGAGCACAAGTAGACAGAGTGGCAGGCAGAGATAGGGGGAGAAGCAGACTCCCCGTTGAGCTGGGAGCCCGACGTGGGACTCGATCCCAGGACCCTGAGATCATGACCTGAGCCGAAGGCAGACGCTCAACGACTGAGCCACCCAGGCGCCCAAAGCTCAATTTTAGACAACATTCCACATTTGATTGTTCAAGGACACTAATTCCATCATGATGGCTGTACCCTCATGACCTAATTACCACCCGAAGGCCCCATAGTTTAATACTATCATACTGGGGATTAGAGTTTCAACATAGGAATTTTGGAGGGTACACTCAGTCCATAGCAATTATTATGTTCTTTTAAAAACCATGAATTATCTGCCATTTAGTAAAATCTAGATGAATCAGCCTTCAAGGAAAACATTTGTATTTTCCATGATTCCCACTTTTCCCCTTTCTGATAATCAAACTACTTCTCTATATCTTCTCTTTTGAAGCCACTCCTATGAACCACAAATTAAGATTTCTGTGGCTGTCAAATGGCACTTGGATTTCCTTCAATCCCATGGAATGTAATTCCCAAGGTCCAGAGACTCGAATTCATAAAAACCAAACAGATGAACTCCTACCAGATCTTGTCTCTTGAGAAAATTAAAACAAACCATAGCAATTGGCACTCCAAGTTGTCAACTGTCTATGAGAGATTCAGAGATCCATGGTCGGTAACAATTTGCTACTTTGCTGGCCATCTGGCTCTGGCCCACTCTCATAATGGTAAGTGGCATTAGTTTGCCTAGCTGGTGACAGCCTAGTCATCTGCCCAACATCCTCATCTCAAATGTGTGTTCTGTATGTACTCTTTATCTCATCATGGTGATTACACCAGTTCCGTGTTTATGAAAAAGATGCTGAAAAAAAAGTGATTTCTTGTTGTCATGATGGAAGTAAAAAAGGTCTAAAGAAAAGATGGCGTTCTTCAGTTTAAAAGTTTATAGAGGCCTTGAGTCAAATGTCTCATGAATGCCAGTGAACTCATGCAATTTGGTGGCATGATGGTTTATTGAAATATTGATTTGTATTGTGCTCTCTCTATTTTTCTTCTCCCTTCATTTGAAGAAGATAGTGGGCCATTGGTTGGCTGAATCTGAAGCTGTTTCAGTATAACTTAGTTTCCTATCTTCTGGGAAAAGCTGAGCGTGTTGAGAAGGTTACACTAGGAGTTTGAGAGAAAGATCAGAGAGGAAAGAGAAAGATTTTCCCCAGACAGAGAAGGGTTAGGATTTGATGTGTCTGTAATGCCCTTTACCAGGAGAAGTAACAAGACCACAAGAGGGAAAGAGAGCACCTCGATTCTGTGGATCTTGTGCAGTGAACAGAGAGAACAACAGAACAAAATCACGTGGCCTGAATATTAGATATTTTGGTAGAGATTGCTAAATTTCATCAATATCGATTTCACCTGTCCTTCCTGGGTATACAGGTCAATTCTACTTCTCTGCCAGTCCCCTTGCATTTGAGCAGAGCCAAGTGCCTGAGTCTGGCTGAAGTAATGGGCACCACTTTTAGGCCTGGCCTTTAAAGATGTCCTCATGGCTCTCCATTATCACCTTAAATCACGTTCTGGTCTGAGTGGCAGGAAGCAAAGGATTGCAAAGCCCGGAGGGTGATTGGAAGATCCCATTATGGAAGGATCCCTGAGCTACCACTTGACACAAGCTGTCCAGCATGGCTTCCTGACTGGGACTATCCACGTTGGACTTCATGTGAGGAAGAGACGAACTTCTTAAGACCCTGTGATCTGGAGTTTTTTACCCAATAACTAGCTTTAATTACCCTAATTCAGGTGTCCAGCCCCTCTTTCCAATGCAAGACACGCCTCCCAGATGTTTACCCTGGAATATAGAGCGGGAGACCCAAGTAATAGCTAAGATAGAGGTGTTCGCTGGCTCAGTGGGATCCTGAGAGCTACATTTCATTTGCTTTAAAGATAATACATTACTTTGAAATAAAACTTGACGTTTTAGACTAAGAGTTTTATCTCATTTCTCCCTCTGAACTTCTTTCTCCTTTTTCTTTCTGGGAAAGGTGTACATTGAGGAATCTGTCCTCTCCAACAGACAAGATTCCCCAGCACACATCCAAAGGTGATGCTCCCTGCCAAGGTAGGCATCAGCTTTTTGGCCTCGCACCCCATCCTTTTATTTTCAGCCCTTCTCGCTCCTTCCAGGGTATGGGCGTGAACCTTAGAGGTCTGGATGGCAAAGAGTTACGCCTTCCTTTCAGGTCTTGGGCTTCTTCAGTCAATTAATTAGATCAACATTTCAACTCGAGGCTGCTCTGCTGGTCTCTAGCTCACACCATCACCTGAAATACAGCCCGCCACACACACGCTTTTGACAGCAAGAGCCGCTCAAAAGCCTCTCCATGCCTCTATTCCAGGAATAATCCAAGGAAAGGGTTGATACCTGTGAAAGCCGTGAGTGCAGAAGGCCTCTCTGTCCACCACTTCAAAAGAACAACTACCCTCAGTCTGCCTTGATTTTGCATTATAGCTCTTCTTTTTCAATGAAACGTCCCTGCTCTCTATTCATTATAAAGAATAAAGAGCTTTTCAAGTGTGAGTTGCTCAACCCAGAAGGGAACAGAGCTATTTTTAAGAGGGTTTCAACTCTGAGCTGTTACACAGGCCAGCCTGCCAGCAGCAGAGGGCTTCCTGGGAGGCCGAAGGCAATCGCAGCCTCCCTTCAGGAGGGGATATTCAGGAAGGAAGCTCCTGGGGCAGAAGCATTCTAGCTCTCTGGCCCGCAGACAGCCCCGGTGCCTTCACACCTGGCTCCTCTAGGCAGAACCTCCCAAGGGGGTCGGGGGAGTATTTTTTATTCTCACCCATTTGAGGTTTGCCTGCTGCCTTAGGTTTCTCACATCTACTTCCTCCAAATAGGAAACAATCTGCTTGATTCTCATCCAGGAGCACTGAGAGGAGGGGGGCCGCCTTTATGTCCTCTCCTATCTTCGTCAAGCCATATGCAACTGGCAGCCACCACACTTCTCTCTGTGGGAAGAGGATAATCAGAGCTGGATTCCTGAATGAAAGGAGGAACATGCAGAGTCGCCTGCCTCCTGTCCAATGGTAATGGAATCCTTGTGGCCTGACTCAGTCCGGAGCTCGTCTGAAGTCCGTGCCTTTTAGGGACCGGGATGGGCTCTCAGATTCAGAGTTAGAGGGACCTGGGTTCAAGTCTCGCCTCTTGGGCCTCTGCTCTCTTAGGGTAAATGAGGATAACAATACTGTCCTCTCAGAGGTACTGTGGGGAGGATTACCCATTCTGCAGTGTCACACGTATGTTCATCAGTGATCTGAGGGCTAGCAAGACATATTCTCTAATTTCTTTCAAGAGCAGAAAATGATGTTGCTGGACAACAGAAGAGATACTGACAATGTGATAGGAACTAATGATTCAGGAGGATTGAGATGACCTTCTATTCTCCCATTCCATTAAGCTTCTCCAACAGAGAGAAGGGGCAGGGAATTAAAACTCTTCCATTGTTCTGGTAGCTTTGGGGAGTAAAAGACATGTGTGTATACTAAAGGGTGGGAGGGGACCCAAATGTCAACTAATTTCATACACAGAATGGCTAAAAGAAATAGAGAAACTTTTTTCATCCTAATATACCTTGTACCATGGAGGTACAGAGCTTAGAGAAATCCACTTCAGTACTTTTTTTAAAGGAAATATAATAGCCAGAAAAATATAGACCTACCGGACCTAAGGGCAAAGATAGTGCTAATATATGTGTATGGTAAGGTTATACGGTTACAAAGATGGGGCAACCAATTAGGCTCTGAGCTTCCAGTAGGCCAAAGCAGAAAGGGAAATATTATGTTACCAAATGTATAGCTTTCATGAGGAACCCCCTACTGCTACCAGTTCCTCATCCTTTTTTATCATAAGATTCATAAGCATGGATAATTATCCTCAGGAAGAGAATACTTAGGGAGTTTCACTACGGCCTCTTTCAAGTATTTGATGGGCTGCCAAGTACAAAAAGGAAAGATTGCTTTGGGTAATTCCAAACCACAAAACTAGAATCAATGAGTGTAAGTTAAAGGGAACAGATTTTGGTTAAAAATAAAGAACTTTCTAACAATTAGAGTTGTCCATAAATGGAATGAGCTGTCTGGCAAAGAAGTGAGCTCCCTGTTACTGGAAGTGATCAAACAGAGGCTGGCTAACCATCTGTTAAGGATAAAAAGGATTTGTACATAATGAGAGAATTATGCAACAACATAATACAAGGCTCTTCATGACAGTTTTATTTATAATAGTAGGAAAAAAAATAGAATCAACCTAAATGTCCAACAATAGGGGATTAGATTATTATGGTACTCTCATATGACTTATTTTTTTTACATTGTTTACAGATGTTAAAAAATCAATAAAATGATGACATGGGAAATGCTTATAATCTGTTACTAAGTGGAAAAAACCTGTAGCATATATATTGTGATGCCATTTTGTAAAAAAAATATATATATATTTGTTTATGGAAGAATAACACTAAAATGTACATATGTGAAAACATTAATAGTGATTACCATTAGTGTTTGCATTATGGGTGATTTTCCTCCTCTGGGCTTCTCAGGGTTTTCCAAGTTTTCTATGCTGAGCACTTACCACTTATGTAACTAGGAAAAAAAAGTAAGAAGAAAAAAACCTCCCAGGAGTCTCTTATTAGCTAGTAGCTTCAATTAGATGATCCCTATAGCTTTTCAAACCTAAGATTTTATGATTTTTATTTTAAACTTAGGTTGATTGTTTTTCTCATAAAATAACTTAGCTTTTAAAAAGGTTTTAATCAAATATAAACCCTCCCACCAAAAAAAGGTTGGCTTAAATTATAAAGTTTTTGGTAAAATCAAATGTATTTCTGATTGCTCTGGTCATTTTCACAGTCTCTTGAAAATACATGGGATATAAATGTAAAAGTCTGCCTAATAGAGTAGAAAGAGCTTACAAATTGGAATCAGACACCACTGGGTCTCAAATCTTGGCTCCACTACAAACCAGCCTTAGTTTCCTCAACTTGAATATGGGATAATAATAATAATAGCTAAGATTTGTAGAAGATTCTCTATGTGCCAGACACTGATTAAGTGCTTTACATGCAATGGAATCTTCAATAAAATCCTCCGAGGTGAATTTTATTCTCCTTATTTTTCAGATGGTAAAACTAAAGCACAGAGAATTTCCATAGCTTGCCAAGATCGGATAGCTCTAAGTGATGGAGTACAAATTCAACCTCAGGCAGTCTAACCTTAGGAACCATGGTGTTAACTACTATACTATACCACCTTGTAGAGTTATGGAAGCATTAATTAAATTAACATAGATAAAGTGCCTAGCAGAAAAACAGGCAGTCAGTGTGCTAAGTTTCTCCCTAAACTTTTCCATAGCTATTTGGCCCCAGAAAGACTTTTGATTATCTTCTCCAAGAATGCATTCAACGAACACACTGGAGAAATGCAGCTCCGTGGTAGGTAGTCTTACAACAAGTTCATTATCAATGGCATTCATGTCAAACTCAGAGATATTAGAAATCATGTCCCACAGGATTCCATTCTGGGGCTGATTCTTTAATATTTCATCAATGATTTACATGGATAGAACAGAAAATAAGCTCCTAAAGCTGACAGATGATACATGCTGTTAGCAGATGACACCCATCGTCAGTTAGGAGGGCTAGCATCCAGGACAGGATTAGAATTCCAAATGGTCTGGCAAGATGGAGAAGAGGTGGAGGCAAAAAGAATGAACTTCATTAGCAACTAGCACAGAGTAATACATTTATTAAGAGGGAAAACATTATATCGGCATAGCAAGGGCAGTGACTAGCAGTGAATAATTGTTGCTGGAATGAGTTAATGGTTAAAGTTGCTCATAAGCTGGAAATGAGACAGAAAGTCAAGTACGGTTCTGAAAATGTACTAAAAAATAAGACTATGGTGGAGTAAATCAATTTTCCCCATTATATATCATATTTTAAACACTCTTTCGAGTTCTATGTTTTTTCCTTCAATATTGTTCTGGACATCTTGGAAAAAGTATCCGAAAAGCAAAAGAAATTTTTACAATTACAAAACACAACCTGAGGGAATAGTGAAGGAATTGAGATCTTTTAGTTGAAGAAGACAAGTCAATTGCTGACAATTGATTTAAAAATTGCTTACTGAGCAGCATCTATGTCCCAGGCTTTGTGCTCAGTGCTGGGAGACAGAGAGAATCAAGATCTGGTTTCTACCCTTGAAAAGCTCAGAGACAAGAGGATAATCGCTTTTAAGTTTATAAAGACTGTTATTTAGAACTCTGATATTTGCATCATTCCTGGCTAACTCCTATGCATCTTTTTCTTTTATTTCCTCTTTCTTCCCTCATTTCCTCTTCTTTTCTTTTTTCCTTCTCTTCCCTAGATGTTAGATTTGTGATTGGAGCCCACTAGCATGGCAGGTTAGCTAGGTATATTCAATAGGGTCCCATCTGAGACTTGGCCAGGATACTAAGCCCTTCTTGTCTTACATTTCAAAATATTTCTATAAATGTATCTTTCATCCTCCACACACTTCCAATACAATTGCAGGCGATGAAGCAAGGCTGGGAGAGAGAAAAGTAGGTTCCTGGATGCAAATAGATCAGTTTGGCTGGAGAGAATGCTAGAGTAGATATATTATGAATCTTATAATATTAAGGAATTTGAATTTTCTCTTATTGATGACAGAAAGTCAATGAAAGTTTGTGAGAAAGGGAGTGACAAGATCAACTGGGGTTTTTAGGAAGAGTAACCTTATTGTGGTAGACAGAATGGGTTGTAAGGGGACAGGCTGGAGGAGGGGTCTTGTTAGGAGGTGATTATTAAGGAATAAAAAATGACCAGAATTAGACAATAGAGTTAAAAGAGACAGAAGATATGTGGACATGAGAGACACTATAAAAGAAAAATCATTAAAAATTTGATGCCTAAGTAAATATGAGCATCAAGGGAGGGAGAGGATTTGAAAACAACTCCTAGATAGTAGATAAGGAGTTTGGGAAATGAAAATGTACCAAAATGAGGCAGTGGGAAGGTGAAGATGGTTGTGGCAAGGGAATCATGATGGGCTCGGGGCCAGACAGGTTGTCTTTGTGTTGATGGAACATATAAATAAAAACCATATATCCAACAGGGAGCTAGGAATGGATTTTCTATAAGATCATCCTCAGGGGCGCCTGGGTGGCTCAGTCGTTAAGCATCTGCCTTCGGCTCTGGTCATGATCCCAGGGTCCTGGGATCGAGCCCCACAGCGGGCTCCCTGCTCAGCGGGAAGCCTGCTTCTCCCTCTCTCATTCCCCCTGCTTGTGTTCCCTCTCCTGCTGTCTCTCTCTCTCTCTGTCAAATAAATAAATAAAATCTTAAAAAAAATTATAACAACAAAAAAAAGAAGATCATCCTCACAGAGGTAATAATGTGTTTTGGACACCTCCACCTGTATATCCCACTGACACATCACACTCTGCATGCCTAAGACTAAACTCTACTGTCATTCACAAACACAAAATTTAATTTGTGTTTCTCCTCTAGGTTAATCATGCTTTTAAATATCCAGGGTACCAAACTCAGAGTCATCTCTGGTACCTTCGTCTCCTATCCCTCCCACTCCCACAAGCAACTAGCCACAAAAGCAATTGATTCTAAGAAAAAAATATGTTGTATATCAATTCCTAGTGCCATAGTTAATGCTCACATGATTTGTTTCTTAACTATCACATAGTTTGTAACAGGTTTTCTTGCCACATGAGTCTGTATTTTTCCACTGGCTACAGAATGAAATTCAAAGTCTTCCAGGAATGAACATACTTGTCCAGCCTAATCACTGAGGATATCTATACATACCCAACCTGAAAGCCCCATCAGATTCCTTGCCTTTCTTTAATGATGCCAGGCATTTCTATGCCTGGTGTACCTTTATTGATGATGTTCCATTATTTTGGAATAATTTTTTCTACTTAAGGAGAATATCTTTCAAGTTCTGAGTTCCATGCTAGTCCCATTGTGAAGGTTTCTCTGATCTCCCATTGTTTGTCTCTCTTCACTCAT